AATAGGGTTTACATACCCCTCAAGCAATTCACATCAATATCATTAATTCTTAACAAGTAATATAACAATAACTTTCATTAATATAATAATCAATAGAATAATTAATATAAACAGTAAAACCCCTCATTATTCCAAAATCTAGCTCACCGCATTTTCCTTACAATTCATTCTTCTTCACAGATCATCATTCCTACACTTAGGCATATTTATAAACCTCAACACAGATAATTTTAATAGAACCAATAATTCTCCAAATCAAATAATTGTAAAATCAATCATAATCCTAAGGAATTCTTCCTCTACCCAATTCCCTCATGTACTATACATATAAATAATCCCCTTTTCCCCCGTACCTGGATAAATAGGAACTCAGGCAGAACCTCCTCCTCTTTTTCTTAAACCGGACCGGAACTAGAGTAGAACCTCCTCTATCTTCCTCCTCCTTTCTCTCCTTAGACAGAACCTCCTCTACTGGATTCTTCTTCTTCTCTCTCCCCTTTTCCTTCCCCTCCTCTCTCTCTTTCTCCCTTTCTCTCTCTTCTTTCTCTCTCTAGGACCTCTTCTCCAAGTTATGAATTTCCAAATACCCTAGGGCCCTATTTATAGGCATTCTGATGCACCCGGAACGGCCCGTACTGAATTCGGAACGGCCCGTTCCGGAACCTTCGAATCTGTGCAAATTTTTGAACTGGAACGGCCCGTTCTAAAACCAGAACGGCCTGTTCCAAAACCCAGCAGAGCGACCCGTTCTCCTTCCGGAACGGCCCGTTCTGCAAGGAGAACGCCCCGTTCTTCAAGCAGAACGGCCCGTTCTCCTTTGGAGAACAGCCCGTTCCAGACCCGTTCCGAAACTTAAAATTTAGCCACTTTCTTTATTTCGGAACGGCCCGTTTCACTTTTGAAACGGCCCGTTCCGGGCACGAATTGGGCCTAAGGCCCAGCAAAAAAAATGGGCTGTTACAATAAAGGAAAAAAATTAGGTAAGGCAACTTGACATGCACTTATCTTTTCCTTAATTTCAGAGTTATAAAATTACTTTCTTACCTATAATTTTAAATCAATGGTCGAAATATTTTTATATTCTATTTTTTTTACTCTCTTTCTCTTATTTACTTTTTTTTCTTAATAACAAGTTATGCATCAGTGTATATGATTGTATATAACTTATATTTATAACAGGCAAACAAATGTTGGAGCAGAACAGATTCTGCTTGAGTCGCCTATTTGTTGGGTTACTAAGTAATTAGGTTGGGGGTGTAGGGTTATGCCCTCATAGTTTATATATTTGATGTAACTTTATTTCTGATGATGAATAAGAGAAATACAATGACACACCTTTATTTTTATGATATCAGAGCCAACACTAGTAGAAAATTAGGATATTACGTCACCCATTTTACGTCGAACATACAAACACCCGACGTAATAAAAATGCGGTGGCATGGTTTGTAATTTTAGTTAAATTATTTACGTCAGACCTCTTAGGGTTCGACGTAAATTTTAACATTTACGTCGGCTATGCATTGTGTCTAACGTCGATGTTAAAATTTACGTCGGACCCTACTAGGGCCGACGTAAATAATCCACGCCCATTAATTAAAAGGAGGCTCACGCAATGGAGATTTCAAAAATTTAAACTCAAACTCATCTCCCGCACATTGTGCAATGGAGGCCAGTGAGAAATCCCTCCGCCTCCTCCTCAAATCGTGGCTGCCCTCGCAGTCGGAGCCACCATGTGCCGCGAGTGGATTGGCATCAACGCCCTCCGCCTCGACAAGTTCTACCTCCTCTGGAGCTTAGGAAGGTTGGGAAAGAGGTTGATTCGCGTGATGATGTTCTTTTTCTTTGGACGGTTGCGTTGGTCATGGGTTTTTCTGGGAGGTTCTATGAGGTGGCGTCTTCTGCTGAGTGTTCACGGGAATAAGAAGGTAATGTTTGCGTTGCATTCAGAGTTTTTGAAGCTGGAGAAGGAAGTGGGTAAGTCCAGGTTGCAAAACGGGTCGTTCTGCTTGGAGAACGGGCCGTTCTCCATGCAGAACGGGCCATGCTTCATTCAGAACGGGTCGTTCTCCATGCAGAACGGGCCGTGCTCCATTCAGAACGGGCCGTTCTCCATGCAAAACGGGCCGTTCTGCTTGTAGTCGTTTTTCTTTCTTTTTTTTTTAAAAAATTTTTTTACAACTTTTTACGTTGGACCTTGTAATGTTCGAAGTAAATTTATGTCAATTTTTGCACCCGACATAAATTTACGTCTCCCACTTCGACGTCAGAGGTTTTTCCGACGTAAAACCCCTAAAATAACCAACGTAAAATGTATATTCTGTACTAGTGCAAGTTAAGGCTCTGAGAATGGCTATCCATAATAGCGGAGTAGGCTCAGAGGTGATCCACTTAGTAGGAGGTAATTTCGACTTGGCTAGACTAATTACTGAACAATGATAGATGTTAACAAATTTATTGAAGGTCAGCAAAGAAGTTGCAATGAGAAGATGACATGCGAAAGCAACATCACTACATGAATCATTGATCTAAGGGCATTAAATCATATGATAGGAAATTTAAAGGACTTGTGTGAATTGCGAGAAGTACCAAGGTGTCCAATTGGATTACTAGATGGACAACATATTACTACAACCAATATTGCAACCAAAGAATATCAATAAACCTTGATGGGGGTTCAAAGCTGAAAAATGTTCTTTTTATTCCTAGTTTAAATTGCAATTTAATTTATGTGTAGAAAATCATTTGATACTTCGTTTCATTAATTCAAATCAATGTATAAAATGATTTTATGATTATCCGTCAATTTGAATTAATGAAATGAAATATCAAATGATTTTCAAATTTTCTAAAAATTTGCAGATTTAATCTATGTATTAAGAACATTAAATTGAACGGTTGGATCGTTAAAATTTAATGTAAAATATGAGTTATTGAACGAAATAAGTCTATGTAGACTTACTCTGTAAAAGGATCCCTCCTCATATATATATATATGGATATTATTTGTATGTTAATTATAGATAGTTAGATGTTTGTTTTTGTTATTAATTATTAGGTTATAAAGTGTAGGAATCTAATGAATCATTACAACAAACCCATATACTAAGTTGAGCAAAAGTATTAAAAATAAAAAGAATAGTAAATCACACTTAGCATGAGCTAAACTAATGCAAAGCGAACACTACCAACGTTTGTATCGGTGGTCAATACTAAGTTTTTGCAGACATATTAACCTTTTCTTAAGAACTAATATTCTCTGATGATAGATTAAAAATATTCGAACAAAATATTCAACGAATAACAACGGAATGAAAGTAAGCACACAGTTATTTATTTATTTAGTTTTAAATGGTGGGAAAGGACGTGGGGGGACATAGGGACCTACCACCTTGATCCTGACCCCATCTTCTTAAAGATGACAGATGAATATATTAAGTAACGTTTTCCTAGTGGATCGAATTGGAGCCTTTATTTCAATCAGATGTTAGGCGACCGAGGATAGACAAATTATAGCAGTTAGTTTTTTTTTTTTTTAGCATAGGACCACAAACTATCGATCATCCTTTTCTAGTTCATCATATTTATCCTCTATATATAGGAGTATAGGACTATGCTACATGCTGCGTAAGAACAAGTAATTAAAAGCATTTGCCGTTTAAAAATGGGAATGATGCCATGCTGTGAGAAGGTAGGGTTGAAGAAAGGACCATGGACACCAGAAGAAGACAACAAGCTCGTTGCTTATGTTCAAAAGCATGGCCATGGAAACTGGAATTCAGTGCCTGCCAAAGCGGGTAATAATGCAACTTTTGTTCACTGTCTATTTGTTTTTTCATATCTATTTAATTATTATGAGTTACTGTATGCTACATATACATGTATCTAGGTCTTCGAAGATGTGGAAAGAGCTGCAGGCTGAGGTGGATTAACCACCTCAAACCTGATATAAAACGAGGGAACTTTAGCTTCTCAGAAGATCGCACCATTATTCAACTTCATGCTCTTCTTGGAAACAAGTGAGCTATGTTTTGGATTTGATGAGTTTTTTTATATTGTTAGAATGGTAAATATTAATATGAAACAACCACATTATTTCTTGTCATTGTTTTCCAACTGTCACAAATTTACACCTAAGAGATGAAAAATTATATTTCTACTCATTTAATTTTTACAGTTTTACCATATCGGATGTAGAATGGTCTATTCTACATTGATTTTTTGTTTGATGTAAAATAATGCTATATTTCATTTTATCAGGGTGTAAATTTGTTGAACAACTAGGGTAGAAAGAGCATTTCAAAGTAAGCACACAGTTATTTATTTATTTAGTTTTAAATGGTGGGAAAGGACGTGGGGGGACATAGGGACCTACCACCTTGATCCTGACCCCATCTTCTTAAAGATGACAGATGAATATATTAAGTAACGTTTTCCTAGTGGATCGAATTGGAGCCTTTATTTCAATCAGATGTTAGGCGACCGAGGATAGACAAATTATAGCAGTTAGTTTTTTTTTTTTTTAGCATAGGACCACAAACTATCGATCATCCTTTTACTAGTTCATATTTATCCTCTATATATAGGAGTATATATAGGACTATGCTGTCTGGCGTTTCCGGTGTACAGTGGTGTGTGTAGTGACCAACCGGGTCGTTACAATGTGTCACAATTAATTGATGGATCAAAAAGTATTTTCCAATTCACCAATAATTTGTACGTCATTCAGGACCACACTACAAGGATGCTAATTGGAGTGGGTGAATGAAGAAATGAAATCTATTTTTTTCAAGGGATTCCAATAGTTAAGACTTTCAAGATTAATGTAATAAACCAACTTGACCTTTGACATAGACGTTTGGAACACCCCTCTTTGAAAACTACTCAACTAGTTCCTAATGTTGGTTGTGATAATAGTAGTGAGTTGTTAAATAAAGCTTGTGATTCATGTCAATGAGTAAAGGAAACTAGACACAAATTTTCTTTGAGTAATCATAAAGTTTATGAGGTTTTGGAATTAATTCATTGTGATTTGTGGGGATTGTATAAAACTTTCTCTTCTAGTGGTGCTTCATATTTGTAGTTCCCATTGTTGTCTCTTCTTTTTCGCCACCACTATGCCCAACCACCACCACCACCACAAAAAACTAGAAAAAAAATACAAATCCAACAACAAAGGCATCAAACAAAAAGTATTTTCATAATCATCATAGGGATTACATTGAGCCATTTCAATTGTTTCCTTGAAGGAACTTGGTGGACTCATGGTGCAAGAAACCTCATTATGCACACAATTGGACCTTGTCACCATTGCTTGCTTAAGGAGACCTCATTGTGTTTGCTCCCAAAGGGAGCTTTGTCGTTGTCATGCTCAAACTGCAAAGGAAAGGGGAACACCTTCTAACAACTTTGATGTTGTCTTATCAAGTGAGAAAGGTGCAAGTGAAGAAAAGGGTAGGGACATTTTTGAAAAGTTAGAAAAAAGAAAAAGAGAAAAAATAATAATATAACCTAACATTCGAATATTAACTTATTTAACAACATAAAGTAGCTTTTCTATAGTGGTAGACATGGCAAGGTCTCTCACCCTAGTATCCACCTTCAAATACATACTAAAATTGAGGTTTGAGAATGTAGAAAATGGGTTGAATAACTACTTGATTGCTTTTACGTTTTAAATAAGGTTGAATAACTATGCAATCATTCTTGGTCACATGACCTAATGCATTTCAACCACCAACATCATGTAAAAAGAGATGTGAAAAAAATTTAAGAATATTGTGTTATCTTTCCCAAAGGTTACATTACAACTAATGTATACATAATTCTCCTCCAAAGATTGCACTATAATCTATATCGTTCATAATTATCCATTGACAAAGATAACATCTTTGACCCTATAAAAGAGAAAGTATCATGACAAGGTATATACACATAATAACCTTATTGAAAATACCTGAACTTGGCTTACCCTTCTAATTTTGGCATCATATAATATTTTCAGGTACATTACCTATTCAAAAGGTTAAGTCAAATGAATGTACTTGTCAGTCAAATAAAATGTGAAATCGTTTAATACACAAACAGATACTTCTCTTCACAAGGAATGTATATGATGACAGACAAAACTAGTAAATGTTAAGGATATGCAATGATCATTTTCATTGAAACCCTATGAAAGGAAGCTTAAAGTTTAGAAAGAGAGAGATAACAATGCAACGATAAATGAAGAGATCAAATATTGTAAAAATTATATCCTTTCTTTCTATAAAAAAGGTTTTTCACCTAATTAGTTGTATTACATCTTGATAGTAAGATGAAATAACATAGTTAGCTTACCGATCTAACTTTGTGTTATTGCTTTGAGTTTGAAGAGACTTGATTATAAAAGAACACTTGTTGATTTGGACTTAGGGAGACTTGACTGTAAAAGAATACTTGTTGATTCAAGTCTGAAGAGACTTTTCTGTTAAAAATATAATTTAAAATAATTATTATAAAAGTTAATAAACTTACATTATACACACACACACACACACACACACACACACACACACACACACACACACACACACACACACACACACACACACACACACACACACACACACACACACACACACACACACACACACACACACACACACACACACACACACACACACACACACACACACACACACACACACACACACACACACACACACACACACACACACACACACACACACACACACACACACACACACACACACACACACACACACACACACACACACACACACACACACACACACACACAC